TATAAGGTGGGCTGACAGGGCCAGATGCTGGCCGGCTGCTGGCTGGACTGCAGGCTTCCTTGAAGGGGTGGGCTGGGCGTGGAGAGTAAGGGTGGGGCTGGGTGGCTAACTCTGCTCTGTTCCCTTGGACCTTAACGCCCACCCTCGCAGATCATTTTTCTCTCCTGTGTGATGAAGAGCCGGATGAGGCGGGTCCTGGGACTTGCCACGGAAGCCAGCGAGAGCGGCGACATGCAAGCCCTTTTGCCCTGTGCAGAGAGGGATGACGAAAGGACCCAGGAGGTGCCGAGGGAGGAGGGCTCGCGGGGCGGAGCAAGGGGGCGGGGAGTGGGGGGGGTGGGTTCCGGGAATCCAGAGAAGCCCTCCCCACTTGAAAAACACAACTGCTTATGCCCAAAGCCCAGATGGTGCTAAATATACCAATATACAATGAGATCCTCCATTTTCCCAATAACCAGATTAAAAAAAAACACCCTTTCTCATCACTTCATAAGGTGCCTCTGGAGAAAGCCAGAAAGGTGTTTCTGGAAAAGCCACCCTTGGACACTCTCTGAGGCACAGTTCTCGTCCGAGACCCACGGGGTTGTCAGGACACGGGTGTTGTGTAGCGATTTCAATTACCTCGTCCACAGCCGCTTACTGCTAGTCCATAATTCACTTGTATAAGACATAAATTAATCATCTAATTCAGGGATCATGCACCCTTTCTAACCTTGTGATTCATTAAAAACCACAATTATAATGATATACTATATAATTAGGCTTGCCTATAATTATATAGTATATAATTGTAGACTACGCAAATTATGAATACAAATGACAAAGTATTAGACTCATTTAGGAATCACGTGGGGGTTTTTTTCCTTCAACCTTGTGCTTCACACAAAAAAGGACTCCTGTGAGAACCCTTGCCACCCCCTAGCACTGTCCTCCAGGTAGCCTACTGTGGTGAGCTCTTTGGGGTAGCGCCCTATGACGCCCTGTGTGCTGCTCTAGGGAAAGCCCCCTCACCTCCCCGAGTGTCATGGCTTCGCTGTGGCTCCGTTAGTTGTTTCCTCCGGCTTTAGTTTCGGCATTGCTCTACACCTCTGTGACTAAAAGCGCCAACCCCAACAATGTGGGGCCACCAGTAAGGTCAGGCCCCAGGTATCAGGCCCATCTCCTTTTATTGACTCAACCCATGGCTGCGACACATCGCTGGGACATAACCGAGAAAGTCCCTCACAGCATGCAGCCTGACTCCTGTGACCCGGGAGGTGGCGGGTGCCTGGAAAGTACCAGAGACTTGATCAGCCGGTACTTGCAAGGACGCCAGCAGAGGGGCCTCTCTTTCTCTAAGATGTTTGTTGGTGTGATGTGCACCTGTTCCCCAGGCTCCTGTGGCCCATAGAGCGTCCCCAGTGCAGAGGGGAGAGGAGGCCCCCGGCCCAAGAGGCAGGCCCGCTACTGAGGAGGAGACTTTGGGACATCACAAGGAAATGACTCATCCGAATGTTCTAGGCTTACCAGAGTAATCCGACTGTGGAGTCCGGTAGCGAAGTGGAGGGTAGTTGTGGTAAGCGCCTTCCTAGAACAAAGGCAAAGGCGATTTGCGTAGCAGTTCCCATGAAGACTGAGGTGAGGTGCCACGTTTCATGAAATTGTATCCACTACCACCACCCCTCCCAAAGGAGCTGAAAGATCTCAAGAGAGCCAGTAGCAGCCTTCGGATTCCTTCAGTTAGGCTGTCTGGAAGTGGTTCCCACCATGTGGTCCCTAAGCCACATCAACAGGGGGCTTCTTAGGAATGCAGATGACAGGGCCCCACCAGAGACTGACCGTGGACGCCAGCGCTCTGTGTTCACAGGCCTACTGGGGCGTGAGTGGGCACCCACTGCAGTCAGAACTACTGCTTCAGGGCAGCCTTCACTTGGCACCTGGAATCGCCTGGCACTCTTAAAACCTTCAGCGCCCAGGTCACATCCCTTCCCGATTGGGCCACAATGTCAGAGGGCAGGAGCGAGACACCAGTGTTTTCTTTTTTTTTTTTTTGCGTTGTAAGCGAAGTTTATTGAAGCTGCCTCCTACTCCGAGGTCAGCTGCCGAAGACCACCAGTGTTTTCTTAAGCTTCCCAGGTGGTCCCCCTGTGCAGCAAAGTTTGGGCACTACTGGCCTTTCACGACCTCCCTGAGGTCTCCTCGCCACAGCCAAAGAGAGAGAGAAGACGGGCTGTATGCAAAGCAGAAAGTGCAGCGCCCCCCAATGAGAGCGGACAGAAGGCCTTGGGGTTCTGTTGCAGACGGTGCTACCTGGTCGTTTGAAACTGCTTGCTGGCTTTACAAATGCCCCCTTGTGTCCCCCATGTAAAAGAATTCAGACTGGATGCCTCTCACCACGCTCCCAAACTGCAAGCCCCTCCGGACAATGGGAGCCATCAGCCGCTACATGGAGCTGACCATTGAGCCTGTGCAGCAGGTGAGCAGCCCTGAGCCATGGCCTGGTGGCCGGAAGGCTGGGAAGTAATCCTGACAAACTCCCTGGAGGAGGGGCACGTCAGCTGAGGGGTGGGGCAGGGTGAGGCCGGAAGCAGCTGTCCACGGTGATCAGAGGGACAGACAGGGAAGATGGGGCCAGCAAGGAGGGACAGGACAGCACGCAGCCTGACTCCTATGATCCGGGAGGTGACGGGTGCCCGGAAAGTACCAGAGACTTGATCAGCCGTGCAAGGTGCGCATTGGATTGGGCTCCTGAGGAGACAAGGAAGTGGGACGGAGAGGTCGAGACAGGCAAGAAGCAGGCGGGTCGACCAGGGTCTGCCCTGGTGGGAGGCCTGAACCCAGCTGCAGCCGGTGGGCACGCAGAGAAGGCTGAGAGGAAGTTGGGAGGGAGAGGCCTCGGAGGGAGTGAGGCTGGGCAGTGCTTCGGGGAGAGCCCCGGGCGTCTGGCCTGTGCCCCTGGGTCAGCAGGAGAAGGCGTTGGAGAGAACAGGAGAGGAGGTGTCATCCTCACCCGTCACCAAGCGGATCAAAATCACCCATGACCTTTGGTTCTGACTGGGATTTAGGTCAGCCGGTCACTCGTGTCTTGGGGTGTCTGTGACGGCCCCCCACTCTCCTGGTCTCTGCCACCCTCACAATTCTGCTGCCTTTGCTTCTTCAGCTTGACTTTAACGCTGGAGTGCCTCCAGCCTGGCCCCAGGAGGTCTCGCCAGGGGACCGCAGCCCAACCCAGAGCTTTAAATACCAACTCTGGACTGATTTCCCAGGGCTGCGACTCCCTCTCGCCTCTTGTCTCCTCTCCCTCTCTCACTTCCATGGCCACACCGACTCCCCGCTGTGCGCCTCAGGGCAGCGAGAGACACACTGCTGCCACGCAGTGGTGCAGACCAAAGCTCCGCTGGTCGACTCTGACCCCTGGTGACCCTTTGGGTCCGAGTGGAGCGGTGCACCAGGTTTGGTTTGATTTGGTTTGACCTTGCACGGTCAAGCAGGTGGAGGTTTACTGGGCAAGTCCATTTTCCACGCAACACCCCATATCCACCCGCGTTTGGTTTCATGTGACGATTATAATCCCCACAAGGTAACCACCAACCCCACTTCCTGCCTGTGTCTCCCATTTCCATGCCTCCTTCTTTACTGATCCCCTGCTTCCTGACCTTGTCCCTGGGCCAATGCTACCCTCCTGATGTCACAGGGCTAGGCATCCCAGGCGTGCTAGCTGCCTGATCTCATTGCTTACTTAGAGCCCTCCCTGCCTTCGCGGTGGCTGAAGCAGATCACCCAGCCTTTCTTCCTGTGGGTGGCCTTGATCTCCAGCCTTCTGGGTTGTAGCCAAGCACTGCTCTGTGTGTGCCTCCCAGGGACTCCCCTCACCAATGCCCCTCCCTGTGCATGTGTGGGAAGTACTACCTGTGTAATACACTTGTCTCCACCCCACCAGCTTCCTAATGCATCTTGCTCTCCACGGCGACACCTGCCTACCCCATCTGTGTCCGGCCGGGTTGTCTAGAACAGGGGTGTCAAATTGGTAGTCTGTGGGCCACCT